ATGGTCGGGATCTCACACAGCTTACTCTATAGTTCAAGTCCCAGGCCCAGCAGTTTGAAAATCATGCCATGCATGTGTGCATGTGTGCCCAAAATCCTGACAGGGGACTGGAGGAGAAGGGATGGTGGTGTGGTTGTCCCCCGAGGGAGTGATTTCTCACTTTCCCTCTGTCTCTGTCTCTCCCACGACCTGCCCTATGGTAAAAATATATATTAAAAAAGAAAAGAAAAAAAAGGAAAGAAAAAGAAAAAGGAAAGAAAAGAAAAGAAATTCTGAGATGGAGAGCGGCCTGGGTCCTCTCCTGCTCTGCCCCAGGTCTGCGATCAGGAGACAGCCCCTTCCCCCCAACAGCCAGCACCCACCCCAGCACTTCCAAGGCCCAGGACCACTCCCTACCTACCCTGTACTCTGACTGATCCTAGCCCAGGTGCTCTGCCACCTGGTGGCGGTCCAGGGAGTGGCACGTCCAGGTAGCAGCAGGCTTAGACCCCTGGATGGTCTCCAGCCAGGCCTCCTCCCCTCCCCACTGCCCACTGGTGACCTCTCACCCAGAAGGGAGGGCATGGCCAGCTCTGAGCCTCCTCCCCAAGCGCAAATCTGCATTCAGTTGTTTGCTGTAGATGTTACCCTGGGACACAGGAAGGGAGGGATGGCGTAAGGTTCTGCGTGTAGGGGACGTGCCAGTGAGAACCTTCTGAGGATGGCGGTGTGGGCTGGTGGGACTCTTCCTGAGGCCCTTGCTGAGGCAGCCAGAAGGAGACAAGAAAGGAAGAAAAGCGGCCCGGGTCAGGAGGGCTGCCCCTCTGGAAGTGGCTTTGCCGGTCTGGAACCCGCCCAGCTGCCTGACCTGAACTTCCCTTGCCTCAGGGACCGTGCTTTGGGGTGGGGACAGCACGATGGGCAGAATGCTCAGGCCCCGGGGCGGCACCTGGCAGCCACCTGCAGTGTCTAAGGGCACTGCAGGTGCACGGGCGGGGCAGCAGGCAGGAGGTGGCACAGCCGGCTCCCCTTCCCACATCTGGATCTTCGATTCCGTTCTGTTCCATGGTACCCGACAGGGCTCTCCTTCCTCCCCAGCAGCCCGTCCTCGGTCCTCGGTCCTCGGTCCTCGGACCCTACCAGTGGGCCCAGGCAGACCTTGGTGTCACAGGCAGGGCCCCTGCACCAGGCGGGCTCGGCGTCCACGGCGTCTGCTGGGAGCTGACCAATCTGCAGACCCCCAGGAACACAAAGGGACCGTTGAGGTGGGGATGCCTCCTCCTTAGTCACCGTTTGTGCTGGTTTAAGAGGTTACTGGGGGGAATGGCAGTTAGCGTAAAGGCTACATTGCTGGACTCCCACATAGTCGACTGCGGTTCGCGTCCCGGACCTGGTGGCTTAAAACTCACGCCGGGCGCGTGTGCGTGCGTGCCCAAGATCCCAAGAGGAGAATGGAGGAGAAGGGACTGCGGTGTGGCCATCTCCCCTGGTGGGTGGGGTGATTTCTCATTTTCTGTCTCTCTGTCTCTGTCTGGCGAGCACACGCGCTCTATAGCAAAAAAAATAAAAATTAAAAAAAGAGGTTACTAGGGACCAAGGAGGGATGGGACAGGTAACCCGATGCTCAGGGGAGGTTCTGAGTCCGCACCTGGGGGCTTTCCTGAGTGCACCAAGCCAGCTTGTGCCCATGGCCTGGCACAGAGGCTGGGTGGCATCCAGGCCCTGTCAAAGGCGTCATCTCTCTGCCTTTCTCCCTGGCTGCTATCTCGCTTATGGAAGAGTTAGATAAACTTGGGGAAAAAAAAAAGGGTTTTCCGTTCCTGGGCATGCATCTTCCCTTTGGGTGCCTGGGTAGGTAGAAGGAAAGAAGGAAAGTGGCTCAGGACACTGGGGTTGCGGTCCCGGCTCTGCCTCCATTCTCCTGCCTGCAGTGACAGGTTTGGATGGGTTTACCCACCCAGATCTGAGGGCCCGCAAATGTCTCTCTCCAAAAACTCAAGTGGCTGGGCAGAGGGCATGACGGCTGTGTGCACGAGGGCCCGCACTCAGGGTTTGTGGGGAAGGTTCCAGGTAGTTGGGGCCAGCAGTAGTGTCGAGGATAAGGCAATGGACTCCCACATGGCCGACTGTGAGGTTCGAGTCCCAGATCTGGCAGCTTGAAAATCATGGCGGGTGAGTGTGTGTGTGTGATCAGAATCCTGAGAGGAGGATGGAGGAAAAAGGATTGTGGTGTGGCCATCTCCTGGGGTGTGCGTGTGATTCTTGCCCTCGCTCTGTCTCTGGCGAGCACATGTGCCCTATAGTAACACTAACAAAGAACGGTGGTGGGACAGGGGCTTGGGGCCAGGGCCCAGGGACAGTCCCAGGCACTCTGGATGCCAGCCCTAGCACTCACCAGGCTGTGTGAGGGCAGGCGCAGGCTTCAGACCCTCCTCTGTTTCTGGAACAGGGAGGTCTGAGGACACAGCGCTTAGCACGGCTAAGTGCTCTGTTCCCACACGCCTGGCCCTCGCCCACTCTTGGAGTTCTGAAACCACAAGGCCCTTCGTTTTCCACCCCCCAGCCCCCAGGCCACTGCTACAGCTCCCTCACGGGACAAACCCCCACGTCTCCACCTTCAAGGCTTCCCAGCCTCTCTTCGGTAGGGCCCGGGTCATGCGAACCTCCTCCTCCCTGAAGCCTCCCTGTCCCAGGGGAGGGTGTGCTTTTTCCCTGGAGCCCACACAGGCCCCTGGCATTTGCCCATGAGAGCCCTGGTTATATCGCTGCTCCCACGTCCACACGCACTGCATAGTGAGCTAATTCGGGTAGAGGCTGTGCCTTCCTCGTACCCCCAGTGCCCCTGGTAGAGCCTGGCACTTGGCAGGTGCTCAGTAAATGTGGTTTGGCTCTGGGGGTGACTGCAGGGGTGCCCTACTTCTTCAGTCTTCTCTCCCACTGAGGAGCCTCACACCGGGCCATGGACTGCCCGGGTGCTCTCCCTGCCTGCCCTCCACTCCGCATCCTCTCTGTCCCACTGGGAACCACCCGCTCTCTAGGGTGCAGCTACGATTCCATTTCGCATAGCGTATGAGTGCAGAGAGGGGCAGACACGGCCCCTGACTCTAAAGGCTCACTCTGACAGTGCAGCTGGCAAGAGCCACCGGGACACACTGAAGTGCACTGGCCAGGACCCAGTCTGCCACATGGGGACCACTTGACAACCTGGCTAGGGACCAGCAGATGGCGTAATGGCCATGTCACTGGACTCCCATGTAGCTGACTGCAGTTCGAGTCCCGGAGCCGGTGGCTTAAACTCACGCCATGCGCATGTGCGTGCGTGCCCAAGATCCTGAGAGGAGAAGGGAGGAGAGGGGATTGCGACATGGCCATCCCCCCTGGGGGGTGATTTCTTATTTCTTGCTTTCTGTCTCTCCGTCTCTCTCTTTCTGGCAAGCGCACATGCCCCATAGCAAAAAAACTCTTAAAAAAAAGAAGGCACCTTCTTGGGACCAGCAGGTGACATAGTGATTAAGGTAGGTGCTGGACACTCTCATGTGGCTGACCACGGTTCGAGTCCTGGACCTTGTGGCTTGTTTTCTCACTTCCCCTCTCTGTGTGTCTCTCTCTGGTCAAATTAAAATAAATAAATGAATAAATAAAATTAAATAATTAATTCTAAAAAAAGAAAAAGAAGGCACCTTCTCTTGGGGCCAGCAGGTGGCCTGGAGGTTAAAGTGCTGGACTCCCAGCAGTTAGCATAATTGCTATGTCGTTGGACTCCCATGTAGTTGACCGCAGTTCATGTCCCAGACCAGGTAGCTTAAAACTCACGCCGGGCACATCTGCGTGCATGCCCAAGATCCCGAGAGGAGAATGGAGGAGAAGGGATTACAATGTGGCCATCCCCTTGAGGGGTGATTTCTCACTTTCTGTCTCTGTCTAGCGAGCACACAAGCCCTATAGCAAAAACCTCTCCCCCCTAAAAAAGTGCTGGACTCCCACATGGCCAACTACGTGGTTATTTTTATCTCCTGGAACCGGCAACTTGAAAATCATGCCAGGTACGTGTGCATTCATACCCAAAATCTTGAGAGGAGAGTGGAGGGGAAAGGATTGTGGCATGGCCATCCCCCCAGCGGTGATTTCTCGCTTTCCCTCTCTGTCGCACTCAGGTAAGTGCATGTGCAAAAAAACTAAAGAAAAAAAAAAAACAAAAAACCTCCCTCTCCCTGGGCTGAAGGTGAGGCCCCAGCTGCATTTCAGTCACTTTCCCACCCCTTCTTCCCAGTGCTCCACTGCAGGGCCTTGCCCTCACCCCACCTGGGCTCAAAAAAAGAGCGTCTGACTCCTTCCCCTGGCCCCACCTTTGGCCTGTCTTCCCATTGCTCCTGCGCAACCTGACCCCAGCGAACTCCCGGCCCTCCAGGCATAATGTTTTTAAATGAACAAAATTACAAACGGTTATAAAGGAAACCAATTATATTGAAACACAGTTATCAAAACATTTACATTTTTTGGTATAGTAATATATATGCTTCTTTATTAACATATTAAAAACAAGGAAAATCTAATAACTATGATCATTTCCAAGTAGTGATGAGCGTAAGTGGCATCCTGAGACACCTCGGACACCTCCACTGCAGTCTGCACACGTCTGCGATCTGTCGGTTACAGAGCCCCAGAACTGTTGCTATATTGTGGCTTACCGCCCGGTTACATACAAGCATGTTCCACTTCAGTTACAGATGAGCGAAAAGAAAGACGTGATGGTTTTCCTATCTAGGTTCACAAACCCCCTGAAATCCACAGACCCCAGTCAAGAACCCCGATTACAGAAAGTAGTGGGGAGGAGACCCTCAGGGAACGAGCCTTTAACCCCATCACTTGAGACTCACACCAGCACTGAGCTATACAGGAACCCGGTTCTTCCTAGGGAGAACTGGAGGCCCAGAGAGGTTCAGAATTTGCCCAGACTCAACCAGGCCCAGCCGCAGCTCTCCCCAGAGTTGAAGGGGGGAGGGTCTTCGGTTGACTCTTTGGCCCCAGAACCCCCTCCCTCGCCCAGGCCCTGTGACCTGCGGGGTTGAAGCAGCGTAGAAGGGTGCTGTCCCCTTGAAATCACACACACTCGGTTATTTTTATCTCCAGTTTATTTTTTTAGACTAAGAGCAGAGTATGAAAGTCACAGCCAAAGCACTTGAAAAAGGCCCAGGAAGGTGGGTGGGGCTCACAGGGTGGGCAGGGCAAGGCCTGGGAGCTGGTCCCGGCTCAGGGCGAGAGGGAGGGCGCTGTTGTCTCACGGTCTCCAAAAGTGTCTGTGCGTTGCATAGGTCCTGTCTTCACAGAAGACAAAAGAGGGGCCAGGGGGTCCCCCGGGCGGGGGCCTAGCCTGGTGGGGAAGGGGTCTGAAGCTGGAAGGGGAAGTCAGAAAGGTCAGAGGTCAAGGGGGGAGAGGGACTCTGTCTGTCTGTACATTATATATAGAGATATAGAGTCTGTACATGCCTGCCTGGCACCCCGATGCCCACCCCTGCCACCCTCGTCCACGGCCCGCCCCCCAGGGGTGTCTACTTGTAAACTTGGATTCAATCCAAACCACAATCCTGGAAGTAGGAGTGGGGGGAACGTGCTTATTGCTGTAAACAGGGGAGGGAGGCAGCGGGTGGTGCCCCCTCCCCATCCAGTCCCCTCCCCACGCTCTGCCCCGGTGGAGGGCCATGGGGTGCTCCTACGCTTGGGTTTGCTCTCTCTGGGCGTGTCTGTCTCTCTGAGGGGCCACCGGGGAGGACGCCAGGGGGCAGGGGAAGGTCCCAGGGGCAGGGACTCCTGAGCACTGCCCTTTTTGGCCCCCAAGTTTGGTACCAAACATCACCAGAGCCACAAGGCCATCTGGGACCCGTGGCTGCGCCTGGGCCTGGTCCACTACAGTGCCCTACCTGGGAGAGGGGCAGAGGGAGTGGGCACAGATGAACGTGGCAGACCCCACTTCCAGCCACAAGAGGAGGGGTCTAAGCCCCAGGCTAGGCTTCCCTGGGAGAGGCCAAAGGCTCCCAGCTCCTTCGGAGCCCGCCCCCGTCTCTCCGGCCCGGGAGGGGCAGAGCTAGGAGGCCAAGAGCGTCAGGAGGAAGAAGGCGATGCCCACGGCCAGGGGCAGGTGTTCCCGCTTGGGGCTGGTCCCGCTGATGCTCTTCTCAAGCTTGGGCACCTGGGGGTTCTCTCCCTCAAAGTCTTCTGTGGATAGATGAACAGACTGGTCAGGGCTGGGCTACGCGCCGGGGCGGGGGCACGCGGCGGCCAGCGGCAGCAGCAGCGGAGCCAGGGAGGTGACCACCCACGGGGTAGGGCGGCTTGGTGCCCCAGGGGAAGGCATGCGAGGCGAGCAGGCACCGGGGAGGGGGCTGCGGTTCCAGCAGTGGCCACCAGAGGGCGCTGCGCAGACTCACCCAGCACGTTGATCTTCACATTGGGGCCCATGGTGAACTGGGGGAGAGTGGGGACCGGCTTCTCCCCGGAGTGCGATGCTGCGGGGTGAGGTGCGGGTGGGGAGAGAGGAGGGGAGAGTCAGGGCCAGGATCCCCTCCTCCTGCTACAGCTGGGGAGCAAGCCCCCCTCGCCTGTGCCCTCCGCCACCACCCCCGGAAGCCAGGGGAGCCCCAAAGCAGGGGAGCCGCGGAAGGGGTCGCGGCTGGGAGTCGATTATACTCACTGGAGGCGCAGCAGACGAACACCTTCATCCTCAGACACTTCCAGTGCAGGTTGTGGGTGGGCGTGGCTGGAAAGGAGGGTGGCCTGAGTTGCTTTCGCTCGATTTGTGCCCTGGACCCCAACTCGCAAAGTCCCTCATCCCGCCTTGGACAGCCTCCTTCCGCAGCTCCCCTTCCCTCTGGACGCTAGTCCCTGCGGCTCTGTGTCTGCTCTAGAAGCCTCTTTGATCCCAACCTTAGAAAGCCCTGACCCCTGAGATGCCTGCCGCGGAATGTCACTCGCAGGAACAAGTGACTGCAGCCCCAACATGGGACTGTCACCGAAACTCGTAGCCTCACGATCTGTCTGAGCTGAAGCCCTGAGGCCCCCAGTCCCTTGCCTCCTCCCGAGGTACCGCTCAGCCACGGTGGCCTGGCGACAGCCGCCTCGGCCCGCCCGCAGCCCCGCGGGACTCCACC